GCTGCTCCAGCGGGACTCGCCGGCTGGAAGCGCCGGGCACGGGGCTGCCCAGCGCCTGCGGCACCTCGAGAGGATCCTGGAGAACAGCACCCAGTGGCTGCTGAAGGTAGGCTGTGGGATGTGGGATGTGGGATGTGGGATGTGGGATGTGGGGGGACGAGCAGCGAGGCGGTGTGGGCAGGGATGTGTGTCCAGCACCCACTCGTGCAGCATCCCTGTGGCGCAGCTGTGGGCATCGGGGTCTGTGCCCACCTGAGCATCCAGGTCAGCTTTTCTCTGCAGGTGTGCAGCTGGCATCAGGCACTGTCTGCACTGCTGTGGGTTCTGCTGTGGGTGCTGCAGCTCATGCGTGCCGCAGATCACTCACACCCAGATCATTCCCCATTGAGGCTGTATTCCCTGTCCGTCCTTGCCATGGTCCTGGCTGGGTCAGCTGTGCCAAGCATCCCTTGGGGATCAGCATTCCAAGTTCTGGGCAAGGAGACTGGGAAGAAGTTTGGCAACTGTCCCAAGGACAGGGGCCACCAAAATCTCTCCAGCTTCATAATTTTCCCTCTTAGAAGCTCCCAGCACTCGGTGAGCCTTTGTGTGGCACCCATGGCTGCTGGGTGGTCTGTGGGTGGTGCACGGTGGCAGCAGTGGGGTGCCACACCAGAGGGGCTGTGTACCCACAGGGTTGCCACCCCCAGCCCCCACTGGCTTGCCCCATCCCCAATGCCTGAGGCAGGAAGCAGCATTTCCTTCCTGGAGCCCCCTCCAGCTGAGTGCGACTGCCTGCGTCAGACCCAGGAATAGCTCATCCCAAGGGACACATCCCTGGGGGGCCCTCAACCCCACAGCCCGTGCCAGGAACACTGGGTACCTGCACTGATAAGAGGAGAAGCGGCTTGTCCCCAGCTGTCACTGACCCAGCAGAGCCACATGCACGTCCCGTGGTGTCCCACCAGGCTGCAATGGGACCTGTGTGCCTCTGCACTCCCGTTTCCTGGGTGATGTCCCCGTGCCGAGCTCCTGCAGCCCTCAGGGATCAGAATGGGGCCCACAAACTGAGTGGGGGTCCCAGGGATGGCCTGTGCCAGCCACACTGCTTGGGTAGCCACCCTGACTATGGGGGACGGTGCAGGCAGCAGGGACGTGCAGGACGTTGTTCCTTGTCCCCTCAGCCATCCTAGAGAACAAATTCCTCAAGAGCTGGGAAAACGCTGAACCGTGGCTCTGCTGGAAGCCAGCCCAGAGTGTTGCAGAGGAGTCAGCAGTGACAACCTGGCTGGTGGCACTGAATCTCTGTCAATGTGGAACCTGCTGGGTGCTCACAAGTCCTGGGGCCCCTGTGCCCCCTTTGCCCTCAGCTCTCTGCCTTGGTGTCCCTGTGCTCTGGTGTCTTTGTGCCCTGTGTGCCCAGGCCAGCTCTGAGCTTCCCTCAGGATGGGGGCAGCCTTTGTATGGCCAAGCAAGGCAGGGCACCAGGGTCCCAGCACAGGTGCACGTGGCTCTGTCCAGAGCTGACAGCCACAGGGAAAATGGGACTGCACATCTGGGCAGCTGTGGGCAGCAGTGCACCTCACCACAGCCCCAAGGAGCACAAAAGAGTGGAGCCAGTACCCCATTCCTTCCCCATCCCCATCCTGTTCCATCCATCCATCCCATCAAAACAATCCCATCCCACCCCATCCCACCCCATCCTGCAACATGGCTCTCCTTTAGAGGCAGCTTGCAGCTATGTTTTTTGCTGTTGTTCCTCAGCTTCCCAAATTTCAGCAGAGCTGCCCAAGAACGCTTGTTTTGGTCAGACTCCAGCCCTGAACAAACAAACGAGGGCTCAAAAGAGGCGTTGGGTTCAGGGACAGATCGTAAACAACGCTGCATCCCCGTCTGCTTTGCCCTGGCACGGGGAGCCCTGCAGGGCGCTGAGAAATTGGGAGGTCTCCTGGTACCCAGCAGGGTTCCCCAGGCCCCCTCAGGCATCCCCAGCACCGGCCTCCCCCAGGACCCCCACCCATGGCACCGAGGGGCTGGTCCACTGTCCCCACTCAGCACCCCTTGGTGGGGACATGGCAAGGACCCAGCACACAAGGACACATCGGCTGCTTCTGTCTCAGGAGGAATTAATTTTAGTTCAAACACAAACACTTGATGGTGCCACTGGGTCTAGCGGGGGACTTGGCGTGGGATGGGGTCTCCAGACGAGCAGTGGCATTCTGGCAGCTCTGAGATGCCTGAGGCACAGGGGCTGATGCTGCTCACCCTGGGATATAGGCAGGGATGTGGAGAGCAGGTGAAGGACTTTTCCCCCACCTGTGACTCAAGGATTCCCGAGCTGGTGCTTGTGAAATGTTCAAAAATGCCAGGGCAGGATAGGAACTGGGACACAGAGGAGGGATGCTGCAAGAAGGCAGCACAGGATGATCCCAGCATGGGCACAGTGAATGGCTGAGTTTTCTCCTGCTCCATGGTGATGTTTTGGCATGACCAAAACAGCACCAAAGCTTTTCCCCCAGCAGCTCTAGCCTAATGGTGGAGAAATGAGACTCTGAAAGCAGGAGAGCCCAGCTCACAACAGCACCCATGAGATGAAGAAGTGGGGATCCTGGATTCCCTGTCCTTGGCACAGGCCCTGTCCCGCTTGTGTCCCCTGTGGCAGACATGCCTGGGGACACTGTGCCCCACTCCAGCTCCCAGGGAGCTGCTGGGGCCAGGATCCAGGGCTCTATCTCCAGGACTCTCAGCCTTCCCCGTGCCAGCTTGACCTTTTCCGTGGGTATGTTTTGCCCTCATCTCACAGATATGTTTATTTAAAAAAAAAAAAAAAGAAAAGCAAGATTGAGAGGGAGAAAAGGCCTCCCCAATCCCTGTGAAGCAACAAGATTAACGATGTGGTTAAAGGGAAACTCTCCAGCAATCCCTCAGCTTGGGGAAATGTTTTCCAGACGCAGCTCTCCGACCTTTCCCCGCTTCCTCCCTGAGAGCATGTTCCTGCGAGGGAAAATCCCCAGGGAAACGGGTGCAGGCAGTGCTGGCTGGGTCCTGGGACTTTCCAGCCCTAACAGCATCCTGCCCCACATGGATGCTCACGGTGGGGTGATGGTTTTGCCACTGCCTGGTGCAGAGGAGGAGGGGACAGTGAGATTTCATCATACCAAACAAGTGCAGAGCCCTGTGCCCTGGCCTGCTGCCAGCCCCACTCCCACGCTGAGTATCCCAACACTGCTGCCTGCCATGGTGTTGAGCATCCTGGTATTTCATGATGCCAAACATCCCAGCACTGCTGCCTGCCTGCCACAGTGCCAAGCATCCCAGCACCACTGCATTCCCACCGTGGTGCACAACATCCCCGCACCACTGCCTGCTTTGACACTGCCCCAGAGAGCAGCATCCCAGCCCTGCTGAATGTGGTCCACAAGCACACAAGGTGTAGGGGGATGTGGGGATCTGCCTGCACCACTGGGGAGCTCAGGCCCGGAGCAGGAGCTGGGCATTGCAGGGACAGCAGCATCTGTGGGATGCAGGGAGATGGGCAGCCCCCATCCCTCCTGCTCTCAGGGGCTGCTTTCCCAGCGTGGGCGGCAGCGTGGCCCCTTCCGCTCCCGGTGGCCCCCGGCGAGGGACCGTGCCCCCACCGAGGCCATCGCCCTGGGGAGGGGCTGAATGGGAACCTCATGGCGGGGCTGCCAGAAATAGCAAAGCCTTTGGGAAAGGCGGCTCCCCCGCGGGCTGGGAAAGCGGAAGCGTCATCTCAGCTGTGTCCGAGCTGTGTTCGCAGCCAGCTTCTTCCCAGCCTCGGTACTTCCACGTGCTGGAGCAGCACCGGCTCCCAGACACCTACCTTCCCTGGCGGATGGTGTCCTCTGTCCCTCCATATCCCCAGCTCTGGGAAGCCAGTGGTTGGGGACCGGCAGCTGATGCTGATGCCAGTGCCAGCCACTCCCTGCCTGGCTGCTTGGCACAGGCTACCCTGGCTGGGCATCAGCTCCAGCTCACCAGCACACCTGGGCACACAGAAGCCCATGCCAGGCCCCAGCTGGTACCACAGCCCAGGAATCTTGGCAGCCAGTGCCTGAGGAGCCTCCCCTGCAGCAGCTCAGCTCGCTCTGTCCTCTGATAACATTCTAAGGGCCCTGAGGTGGGTCAAGCCTTGTGGAGACACAGGGCTGTGTCTGGGGGCTGTGCCCAGTGGTGCCAGGCTCAGCTGGGATGCTGAGACAGGACCTGAAGAGGTGCCCAAATGACCCTCTGCATCCTCACTTCCCTGCACAGCTGGAGAGCTACATCCAGAGCAGCGTGAAGCCGGAGATGGCGGAGCTGCGGCAGACGGCAGTGCAGAACCAGACTGCCACCATGCTGGAGATCGGCAGCTCCCTCCTCAACCGCAGCGCCGAGCAGAGCCGCAAGCTCACTGACGTGGAGGCCCAGGTATGGCACGTGTGTGCCCACGTCCCCACCACCCTGACACCGTGCTGGGTGGCACAGTTTGTCTGCAGATCAAGGCGATTCCCTGAGGTGGAACAGGGTTTAATGCACCAGTGGCAGAGGTGCCAGGGCTGTGTGCCAGAGACCGGCTGACACCACGGCTGTGGTGTGGCTCTGGCTGCTGATGCCAAGGCTCCCCTCTGCTCCTGAGGCAGGTGCTGAATCAGACGTGGCGCATCGAGATGCAGCTCCAGGAGAATTCCCTGTCCACCAGCAAGCTGGAGAAGCAGCTGCTGCTGCAGACCAATGAGATCCACAAGCTGCAGAACAGAAACAAGTAGGGGCTGGGGAGGCTCAGGGACCCCCACAGCCCTTGGACCCCACAGGGAGGCTGGTCTCTCCCACCTCACACTTCACTTTGTGGGGGCTTGAACCCCTCCAGGTGCTGGCTGTGGTCCCTAGGTGGTTGCACAGCCCCACACGGCCACTGGGCTTTGGGTTCCCCTGTGTGGGCACATCCCAGAAGTGAGGGTACAATTCAGGGGGTGCAGCAGGGGATGGGGACAGCAATGGGTCCCTGCAGACACGCTGGGACTGCTCTGCCACCCCATCACCGCTGCATCCCACTCCCAGCATCCTGGAGGTGCGGGTGCTGGAGATGGAAACGAAGCAGCAGGCGGAGCTGGCGGGGGCACACTCAGAGAAGGAGAAGCTGCAGCGGCTGCTGAGCCGCCAGAGCGGCACCATCGAGGAGATGGAAAAGACGCTGCTGGCTGCCAGTGCCAACACCAGCCTGCTCCAGCGGCAGCAGCTCCAGCTCCTCCAGTCTGTCCAGAGCCTGGTGCGCCTCGTCTCCCGGGGCAGAGGTGAGCGGGGTGTGCGGGCACAGTGGGGGCAGTGGGAAAGCTCCTCGTCCTCCCAGGAGTGTGCCACGGTGCCCCTCTGATCTGCTCAGCTCGAGTGACTTCACCTCAAAAATCACAGAACCACTCAGCAGAGAATGGTTTGGGTTGGAAGGGATCTTAAAGCTCATCTCATTCCAAGACCCTGCCATGGGCAGGAACACGTTCCTGTAGAAAACTGTAGATACACTCATTGCAACCAAGGAGCAGCTGGGAGCCCCAGGGGGTGGGTCCAGAGCCTGATGTCATTCCCAGCAGTGACAAACCCCCAGGGGTTAGGCTGGCAGCAGCCCTGGTGGCACAGCTGCCTTGCCCAGCCCTCAGGAGATGGCACAGAAAGAAAAGAAATAATCTGTCAGCACAAAGGCATCCAAAGGGAGAGGGAAGAGCAGAAAAACCAGGCAGGGCTGCAGGGCCATCAGGATTTCTGCCTTTTCACTGTCCCCTCTGCCGAGGTGCGCCGGGCGGGCATCCATGCCAGTGGCATCTACACCCTGCACATTGCCAACCTCAGTGAGCCCAAAAAGGTGAGCACAGTCCAGAGAGGGCTTCCCTGCATCACCCTGGAGTGTTTCCCCCCAGTGCACACCAGTCCCACACCAGATCCCTGTTATTTGGGACATCCCAGGGCAGTTCCCCATCCCATTCGGCCTTGGGGGTGCACAGGGGTGAGGCCAGAACCCACAGGACAAAAGCAGGGCTGGCACAGCCTTCCAAATGGGGAATAAAACTGATTTTAAAGGCACCCTGACCTATGAGCACCAGACCCCAACCCCTGCCCATGGCCATGGAGGGCGGAGAGACGCCTCAGCCAGGCTGGGCACAGCACACCCTCGCCAGCCTCTCAGCCAGCTCTAGCACCCACAGAGCACCCACGCTGAGCTGCCCAGCCTGGCAGGGGTGCACCTGGCCACCCACTCCAAGCCACCCCCAGCCTGTCCCTCGCTGCCCTTGCAGGCATACTGTGACATGGAGACAGATCGAGGGGGCTGGACCATCATCCAGCTTCGTGCCAACGGCAGCCTCAGCTTCCAGAGGAGCTGGAGGGAGTACAAGCAGGTGTGTGCCTGACCGGGGAGGGGGACACCCTGGAGGCACCCCAAGCACCCTGAACTCACCCACCCTGCTGCTCCCCAGGGCTTTGGGGACGCGTCGGGGGAATACTGGCTGGGGAACGAGGCCGTGCACCTGCTGACGAGCCGGGTGCCCTACGCCCTGCGGGTCGAGCTGCAGGACTGGGAGGGCGGCCAGGTGTATGCCCACTACAGGAAATTCCAGCTGGGGAGTGAGCGGCAGTTTTACAGGTAGGGGAGAGGCGCTGTGGGAACAGCCACCCAGTGCTCCCCATTTCTGACTGTCCCCAAGCCCTGTGGGCAGCAGTGGCCAGGGGGAAGGGCTGGGTGTGGTGCCCTAGGGAGGTGCAGGCTTACCTGGGGCTTCACTGGGTTGTCCTGGTGTAGTTATGATGCCAGGTGACAGGCACGTTGCTGTGACACTTTCATCTCTCCCTGGGCTCCTGAGTAGATTTTTCATGTATAAAATTGCTTCAAGGCAGTAGGATTTGCCATCCCAGTGGGAGGAACTTGGGTGTTTGCACTGAGGCTCTTTGTTTGGGCATGAGAGGTGACACAGCTGTGGCCAATCCCAGGGATGTTGGGCATCCCCAGGCTGTCCATGTCCAGGGAGAGATGCTGTGCTCCTAATGCTCAGCTTGCCATGACCATGTGTTCCTGGCCATGGGCAGGAGGGTGGAAAGCAGCTGGGGGCCTTCACTGCTGGGCTGGAGGTGGAACCAGACCCCAGACATCCCCTGCACCATCCATCCCATGCATGCATCGAGCTGACTCCCAGCAAGAGGACTGGAGAGGCCTTGGGGGTGGATCCTCTCTGCCCCAGCATACCACAACCTCCACTCCTGGGGACAAAGGACAGGAGGCCAAGCTGTAACTGCAGGATCTCTGCCCACATCCCTGTGTTCAGCTCATGGCAGCCCCTGAGCAGTGCTGGGGGTCTGTGACCCCCTGGCAGACAGCAGTGACAGTGGCTGTGTTCCTGCTGTGCCAGGCTGTCGCTGCAGGACTACAGTGGCACAGCTGGGCAGCAGAGTGGCCTGGCACTGCAGGGCACCCAATTCAGCACCCGTGACGCCGACAATGACAACTGTCTCTGCAAGTGTGCCCAGATGCTCTCGGGAGGTGAGTGGAGCAGGGGGACACCCCCATGCAGCAGCCGTGGGTGCCAGCCTGCGATGCCACCTTCCCACCCTGCTCCCTTCCCACAGGATGGTGGTTCGATGCCTGTGGCCTCTCCAACCTGAACGGCATCTACTACCCGGCCCGGAACAACATCCGCAAGCTGAACGGCATCCGCTGGCACCACTTCCAGGGGCCCAGCTACTCCCTGAGGGGCACCCGCATGATGATCCGACCCAGCAGCTTCTAATGAGCCCGCGGCCACTGCCAGCACTGAGAGACAAGTCCAGGACAAGGGATGCTTGGGGGCGGCCGAGATGCCCCAGCTGCTGCAGGGAACCTTTGCCATGAGCTGTATTTTTTTACTCTTGTTTATCCCATTTTTCAGAAGTCTGCAGTGTCACCGTGGCCATGCTGGAGGAACTGTGGGCAGGGGTGAAGGGCGCTGCAGGAGCTGGAGCTGCAGGAGCTGGAGTGGGACAAAGCCAGACCTGCTAAAGTGGGCTCCAGCATATGGAAACCCCCTGACCTCACCTCAGCTTCTCTCCCTGAATTTCTGCTGGGCCTCAGGGTTTTGTCTTGGGGACAGGGCTCCAAGACCTTCCCAGTGATGGGGCTCTGAGAACCCCTGGGACCACGTGCATTCAGAGGTACCCCAGATGTGATGGGGGCTTTGCCTTTTCACTGGCTTTGGATATTGTAAATCCCCCACCATCCCACTTTCCTTGAGGATTAGAGGAGCTGGGTGGGACAGGAATCCTGATAAGCATGGGGACTGGTGGTGTCCTTCCTTCCCCTTTGGTCCAGACACAGCCATGCAGAGGGCCACAGGCTGTCCCCTTCTAGGCTTGGCCTGAGGCACTGTCCCATATATGGCAGGCCAGGCACTGCTCCTCACGGGATGGAGCTGGGTTTCTCCAGCTCTCAGAGAGGACAGGAAGAGCAGGGGGTGTCCTTGGGGACCTTCATGGGGACCAGTCCTGGGATGGCCAGTGGCCCAGTTCTGCAAGGCACTTACTGGGAGCAGACACTGCACTGGCAGAGCCCCAGGATTGGCAGGAAGGGG